GTCCCCCCACGCTGTCATGCTGTCATGCTGTCACTGTCCCCCCACGCTGTCATGCTGTCATGCTGTCACTGTCCCCCCACGCTGTCATGCTGTCACACACTGTCACGCTGTCACACACTTTCCCCCCATGCTGTCACACACTACCACAGTCACACACAGTCACTACTCTGTCCCTCCCATGCTGTCACGCTGTCACACTGTCCTCCCCACGCTGTGACAGTCACACACTGTCACGCTGTCACTGTCACACACGCTGTTATTTTCACACACTGTCACGCTGTCACTGTCACACACTCTCACATGCTGTCACGCTGTCACACTGCCCCCCCACGCTGTCGCACACATTCCCACCCTGTCACACGGGTCTCCCATGGCCACGCACACGGCCTGGCGCCGACGCTCATCCCGGGATGTCCTCCGCTCCCTCACTCCTCACCGCCCCGCGGTCAGGTCGGGCCGGGTCCTCGGGCGCGGTCTTGCGGGCCCGGCCGGCCGCCCGGGGCTGGATCTCCCGCCGGCAGCCGGGCTCACAAAGGCGCCCCCGGGGGTCCCGCCGGCGGCCGGGCTCCGCGCAAGGACTGCCGGGAAATGGAGTCCAGCGGCGGCCAACACCTTGCAGAGACTGCTGGGAGCTGTCTCGCTCCCCGCCCCAGGAGCGCGCATGCGCAGTGCCGGCCGCGCCGGTTATAGCTGCTGGTTTCCTGAGGGGCGCGGGATGGGAGCTAGAAGGAGCAGAATTCGAGTCTAATAGCCTCCTTGCAGCTTCACCACCACATCTCTGACTTTCTGCAGTGCTGGGTTTGAACCCAGGGCCTCATTCACATAAGGCAGGTGCTCTACTACCCAGGGACGGCCTCAGCTCTACATGGAAGACCTTAGTTACAAGAACGGTAGCATTCTGAAGAACGAGGTTGGGATGTGTGTATGCGTGTGTGTGTGTGTGGACACACAGTTCAACCCGTAATCCCTGCGACTCAGGAATTCCGCTGTAAGTGTACATCTAGGAAAAGTAGAAACACGATGGAATGCAAAAACTAGTACATAATTCTTTATTGCATCACCAACCACAAGAGCCAAAACGTAGGGACAATCCAAAATTTATATTTAAAAAGAGTCTATGTGAAATACCCCAAAGAGGTGATTTCGGGGCAGAAGGTAGCTGAGTGATTCCTTTAGGGCCGGTACAAGAGGATGAGTAGCAATGCCTCACTCGTGGCCGTTAATAAAGCTACAGGGTTTCTTTGCGAGAAAATATCCTATAACTTGAGTGTGGTGACGCTTATGCAGTCCGTGAAAACACACTTGTATGTTAAGGAAACTATATCTCAATGAAGGCGTTTTCGTGTAGCTTTCCTTCTGTCAATATCGCATTGATTACCTCGGCTATAAAGGAGGCCTCGGTATGGGGTAGGATTGTGTACCCTGATTTCCGTCAGGACTGTCGTAGTTGTTTTGGAGCCGGCGACTCTGCACATTTGACAAGGTTTTCCACCTCTAGAAAACAGCGCCACGCAATACAGAACTCTCAGGAGCCAGAACACCTGCTCCGAGCCTTGCCCCCAAAACATCGCGAGACCCACCGACAAGGCTTCCAGTGAGGAGGTTTGCCCAGAGACTGCGTTACCCAGAAGCCACCGCGGCTCCAGACCAATCACGGCGTGCCGCCGGCATGCGCCCTACGCCGTCTTCCGGCTGCTTCAGGTGGAGGCGCCGCCTGGGCTGGGTGTCGGGGCCACGCAGGCACCGGGACCGAGGCGGCGGCAGGTGAGGGGCTCCGGAGGTTTGCCTGAGCTCCGACAGAAGCATCTCGGGTCTGAAAGGACAGTTGGCTTCGGCGTCTCTCGGTGGCTTTTCCGAGCGCGAACTACACTTCCCGTCGACCACCGCGAGCGCCCTGGCTGGCGCCCCCTGCTGGCGCCCAGCTCCCAGTGTCATTTTTGACAGCTGAGTGGCGTTCAGTTATAGGGCTTTGCCAAAAATGATTCACCTGACTTGCTTGCTTGTGGTCTTGCCTACTTCCACTGACTTCTGCTTTCTTGATCAGATCCCGCTGTGTCTCTGGAAGGGGCATCTTCTGGTGCTGACCACACCCCCCACCGTGCTCGTCCCTCCCCCAGCTGCCCTGCCCTCTGGAGACTTCTCTTCCCCAAGAGGGGAGCCCCGAAGGCCCCTCCATACTTGAGATTCTGCATGTCACGTCCCTCATGAGCTTTTTGGGTTTTATTTTTCTGGTCGGTCATGGGGCTTGAACTCAGGGCATCGACGCTGCCCCTGAGCTACTTTTGTTCAAGGCTAGTGCTCTACCACTAGAGTCACAGTGACACTTCTGCCTTTTTCTGGGGGTTAATTGGAGATAGTCTCACAGACTTTCCTGCCAGACTTTCCTTCGAACCGCAATCCTCAGACCTCAGCCTCCTGAGATCTCAGCCTACTGAGCTAGGATTACAGGTGTGAGCCTGTATATATATATATATATATATA